TAAATTTAAATGGACTCATTAATAAAATATTGAGGATGTGCTACTTTAAGACACGAGAAAAAAAAAGTATAAATTGGTGATAACGTTATTTCTATTTTTAAATACATCCCACAGAGGCACCCAAGATAGATGAGAAGTGCTAAGCCCACCCCACAAGCTTATTTATTTATTTAATACTTCTTACATGCTATTTTTAACTGCAGAAGACAGCAAAAGGCATCCATTAGAAAAATTATATTGGTTAGAGTTTTCCTCACACAGGTTAGCCAAGTGAGATATCTGGCTGAACACATTGTTAAGAAGAGATGGGGTGTTTTTTTCCCCTCGCTTTCCTATAGGTTTCTGGAATAAAAAAGCAATTTTATTTTTGCAGCATCAGCTAGGCTCGAATTTGTACTGCAAACCTCGGTCAGTCCCTACTCACTCCCCAGCCCCCTCTTCCCACTCCTCCACTTCCCACAAGGTTTAATTTTGTAAGTAATGCAGGGTTTGAATATGTACACAACAAGCTTGCCACACAGGGACAGTTAAAATGGAGACGTATGGGTTTGGTTTGGGTTTTTTTAAGCCTCAGTTGTGCACATCGAAAAGAAAAGAGAGGAAATGCCATAGTCTCATAGAATTGCACCAATTTGCAGAAGACCTATTCCTTCGGGAGAGGAAAAAATGTAAAATTTTCCATTTTTTCAACAGAGTTAAAGGAATTTATCTTCGTTGATGTTGGTTTTCCTTAGGAATCAAGATTCTTTGGTGAGCTAAGAAACCAAAGGAAGAATGTCCCATCCTTGTCTGTCCCATCACAAATACAAGTTTTCAGGATTTACTTGATTTCTACATGTCATCTTCCTAAATGGTTGCTTTATTTGGGGAAATACATAGCATTTTCATGCTTAAGCAGCAAATTTTCCCTTTTCCTTACATTTAAAGAAACAAAGGCTAAACTCCAAGGAGGCAAGCTGGCACTCCCTAGCAGTTTCTGCCAGGGTTTCTGGTAGACCAGAAGAAAAAATTGCACATAGGCAACTAGGTGTTATTTCAGGAGGCTCTGCAAGCATTTTAAGTCTCCTCCTAACTTTGTTACAGAAGACACAGCCTGAACCGGATGTTTATTTGCTGTCTGGCCAGGTAAACAGCTACAGACAATAAAAAGGGTATAAAAAAAAAAAAAAAGAAGTTTTGGAAGTGACACAGGTCCCCATGCAGAGCCCAGGGCAGGGTGGGACGACAGACCCCCCCCGCGTGGGGCACGGCACAGCTCAGCAGTTACCTGGGCAAATCCAGGCAGCAGCGTAAGCCAGGTAAGCACCCAACTGGGTGGTTAATGCATGGGCAGCAGCTGGAGTACTTAACCGCTATTTTCCACTCTTTTTAAATTTTGCACAGAGTTTTTGTAAACAAAACCACGGAGGTTTTTGGTGTCACTCAGAAGAAGGACAGTTTATTTGTTCTACCTGCCTGGAGACAAACTCAGTTTGCTGATAACAGGCATTACTGAGCCCATAAATGGAAGGCTTTTATTCATAATCTATTCATACATGGCACTAACAAAGCTTGATGACTAAGAAATACTTGAATTTCTAAAAGAAGTAGCTTTCTCTGTAGTGGAAAGGTCACATTGCAGAGAGAACTATGCAAGCAGCTGATGCACAAGACAAGTGTCACCAACAGAAAGTTGGATAAAAGGCAAGTAATGCAATTTTGTGGGTACAAAAACCACTACTAAACTTGAGATCCTGGATAAATATTCAAAATATTCTCTGTATTTGGAATCCGGCCTCAGGCCAGGCCTGGTTTGGGCAACAGAGCCTCCGATACAAATTTGGCTCCCGACTTATTTCTAAAATATTCTGAATATTCTGCACGTGGGCCTTAGAAAGCAGATTACAGTCTGCCAGCAGTAGGCAGGACCCCAAGCACACTGTCTGCTGAAAAGCCAAATTTAAGTGTTCACATACTTCTTCTCCCTTAAGTATTACATTTAATGACATTAAAAGGGCTAATTTCCACGGCACACCATCCATCCTACATTCCTCAGACTGCCCGAAGAGAAGAAATGCGAGTTACCTGCCCAGTTTCAGATTTTTGCTTGCAACCAGAAACTCCTGGGACTTAAAGCCTTAAACTCTGAATAAGCTTAATAAGCGGTTATTCAATAAACTATGAAATGCTATTTTCAAAATTAGGGAGTGCTGAAACTATGCATCACCCATCCTCTCTTCTCGTAAGCGAGGAGCGTGGACACGTAAGTGACTCCATCTCAGAACCCAAAGGCACATTCTTCCAGGCAGACTTAAACTTTCCCACTTAAATAAAATCCTCCTCCACAATTACAAGTTATTATGCCACTCCAAAGAGAGGAAGCGGAGACCTAACACGTCAAACAGCTTCTTTACATGACTTGATGCCATAAATTTAACGTTTCCCCTGGAAGTGCTGTTCATATGTACACTTGTGCAACATTTAAACTGAATACATCATCTAATGCTGTCAAAATAGCTCATTACCAGCGTCTCGTCAAATTCCATAACCATATAAATAATATCCCTCTCACTACAAAAGCACACTCAGGATTTACATTTTCATTTACTAAAAGAATTGTGTTTCTATCAGCCTTCTGTGTCTGGCCACAAGCAGACTCAGACCCTTGCTGCAGAGAGTGAGCACTCACACACACTAAAAGAATTGTGTTTCTATCAGCCTTCTGTGCCTGGCCACAAGCAGACTTGCTGCAGAGAGTGAGCACTCACACATGAGGAGACAGTTCTCCACGCTAAGCTAAAGTCTGATCCGGAGAATGACTCACATAAGTGGTAAGAGACTACAGTGGAAGGTTATCTATATTTTGTTAAACCTGCCCCATATATAACACTGAGTTTTCCTGACCTCTACTGTTTTTATTTTAGCAACTAAGCAAAACAACGCGGTGACTACGTTCAGTCTGCAAATACTCAGTCTCTCAGATACTAATTATTTCCATTTATCTGAATCAGACTTAAAATTATCAGTAAGCGCTGCTATCAGTTCTGCCAGACCCTATACAATTCTCTCAATCGCACAAGCTGCCTAAACACCCAGCTGCTGCTGGGATATTTTCAGCAATGTAGATGTTTTAGAAGGACAAAAATCCAGCAACACTATCAACTTAGGAGGAGACTATTCTCTTGTTTTCTGGACACAGAATAAACATGCTATTTAAAGTACATTACTGATATATAAAATCAAGAAGCCTGATAGGTAATTGAGGATTTCCAGATTCTGACCAGTTTTATGAACCAGTGCACAGAAAGAAATATGGTATGACAGGCACGCGAAGAACAAGGTTTTCTCATTCCAGTTCCACGCTAGACAACCTGACTCCTTTCTCTGTCTTTTGAAAACCACACTAGCTTATATAGCAGGGAAATTATTTTTTTCTCTCCAATGGTTTGGGCCTAGAATGTATACACACCTCCAGCAAGTCTACCAAAGAGGAGACCTGAGATCTCCTTGGCATTGGCAGGTTCTGGAAATAATTGGCAATTTTCTTTTTAAAACTACAGCTACTACAGAAATCATTTCTGTAGGCATAACTGTCCTTGACAAAAACTCACTCATCATCAAATGAGCAAAACACAAACCTCCTTGAAAACAGTGATCTGGAGGACCACAAAAGATCGCCCATGAATTATGGAAAAGCCAGGTCGGTCATGTTGCAGCACTGGAAGTTTCCACCTCTCAACGATGGTGCAGAGATCCCAGTGCCGAACAGGAGAAGGGAAAACACACTGAGCCCCAATGACCAGTGGTGTTTCACACTTAAGTATGGGAAAAGACAGACAGATCCCAAATCTACCCATTCCTACACAATCAGCCGTGACTTCTTTAAGGAAACTGAGGTCCTAAACACCACCAATTTAAAAAAAAAAAAAAAAAGTCATACAAGTTGTCAGTCTCAGGTGAAAAAAAAAAAAAAAAAAAAAAAAAAGTCATACGACTTGTCAGTCTCAGGCAGATTAGTTACCCTGGAAAGCAAGGTATGCAATCTTCCCTATCACCCTTTTTCTCTTCCCGGGAGACCCTAATCAGCACATATATAATGTCTTTTGTATAGCACTCAGCTCCACATGTCTGGAACAAGTTCATTATTTGGTGCAAGCCTCTTCATGCCCCTTCTGGAAGAGAGCACACCAAGCAGAGCCTAAGCAGAACACATGCCTGCTTCAGTTCAGTGGGGTTTGTTACGGGTGGTTGGTGGGGGTTTTTTTGGTGTGGGTTGTTTTGGTTTGGTGGGTTTTTTTTTTTAATTTCATCCTGATTCTTTCAGGTTACTGAAGCTACAAATCCATTCAATTTTTATTTTTTTTTGAAATGCAGAACTTGAACTGTATTTCTACTGGGTATAAAGGCGAGTGGTTCATTTCAGAGGGTGGACTGAGGGACAGAGCTTGGAAAAAAAAAATCAGAATTCAGAACAACAGACTGAAAGGGAAAGCACCTGAAATAAGTACTTACCATTACAAGATCTTAAAGCAGATTGCCAGCACCAAGTTTTGGGGAATATCTTTCATACTCTTCAGAAATGAAATTTAAAAAAAAAAAAACAAACCCAAAACAATTCAAGCGCCAAAGAAAACCATAAGAACAGAAAAAAGAAATCTACTCCTGTACAAAGGGAGGTTGGAAAAAAATTAAGAAAACTGTACCTTCGAGCATGCAGGTGTTTTAAGAGACTACAGAAAGTCACAAGTGTTGCCTACAGAGATCAGAGTCTTACGTTGTGTATTACACCACATCCCTGATCACACATTCAACTTTAGGGAACAACAGAAAGGTAGCTTTCCTGGTCCCTCTACACACTAATGTAACTCTGCTTTGAAACACCATATAGGAAGCCATTGTGCATGCTGAAATACAAGTATTTAAAAATATTGCATATATGTCTCAATTGATTTACAGGTTAAAAACCCATTTGCCTTAGCCTACTGTTACACTTAGGCCACGTCCAGCTCAGGTGAACCTACCATGTGGTAGTGTTATATTTGCACCATCAATGATTGCTTGTGCCAGTTCGTGATCATTGCTCTCGAAAGCATGTGCAGCAGCCTTGAGGGCATCCCAAATCTCCTTGCGACCTTCAAAAGCTGGTGCTGTGTCCCAAAACTCGTCTCTCTTACTGCGCAACTGTCCGTCTGTCATGGGGTAATCACTTTTCCATTTCGGTTTCTCTTTTTTCAAGGGCTGGTTACGACCGAGAGCAACTGTGGAGGAGAAAGAGGAAGAGCAATTAAAAAAAGGTAATAGTACAAAATTACTGAAGTGCCCTTTGGTTATTCTGTTTAGGATCTAGAGAGCTACAGTTTATTTTTGGGCAATCCTGATCCTGTTTTCCCATCTCCTTGAGGCATCACCTCCCTTCCCCTGGGCTTCAAGTTAGAAAAATGGAGGGGCTACCTCCTGCTTGCTCATTTCACCTGCACCCCTGAGCACTCCACAACTTCTCCCCAAGCTCCTTGGTAACTCCACATCCCTCCGCCTGTGCTGCGTGTGCCTGGCTGGGAGACTCACACCCGACACAGACATCTTCCAAAGGCTGTAGTGGCGGTACAGCGAGATGCTCGATATCCCAACACCGGGGTGCAGTGGGACCACACTGCATCTGGATCTCTGCTCGACGCCGCTAGCAACGCTCTCTGCTCAACAAACATGATACTCTGTTAATATAAGAGTTTTAAGAGGCTTAAGATTTTTTTTTTTTACATCATCTCCTTTTAAACAGTTTTAATTCAGAGTAAGTATATGTAGAAAGGCAAATAAGATGTACAGAGGCTAGAACTGTCAGACACAGAAACCCCTAAAGAATAATCCAGGAATCCATCAAGCTTTAAAAAGTGGTTACCTCATTCACAATAAACACAAAAGGATTTGCTTCATTTTAACTACAGCTATTTCTGTGTAATAGCCAGTTAAGATAATCACAGAGGTATAATGGTGGTGGATTAAAACTACCTGCTCACTTTAAATTACAGCGCTGCTAAGACTGTGCTAAACCCTTCTCTTCCTGCTAAGACTGTGCTAAACCCTTCTCTTCCATTTGTGTGAGTAAGGGGTTATTTTAACTTCTGTTGAAAGGAAAAGGAAAAAGGACGGAGCAAGCTTCAGTGCACACCGGGAGGAATTTCTCCCTGAAAGAGTTAAAACCCCATTTCCTTCAGCTCCCTCCCAGCAGCGAGGACAGAACAGGGAAGAGAGCAGCGACAAACCACAAAAACAGTTCTCACCACGGCCCAGTACCACAAAACCTTGAATATATAGTTTAAGTGTCTCCAGAGGAAATGAAGTGTCCTTCAACAGTTAAACTAAATGTAAGTGTGTTGGCAGCTGAAAATAAGCAGCCCCTCCATGGGACAGGCCATAGAAACTGGGTGAAGACTGAAGGCTCTTGAAAGACAGGTAAGCTACACAGGACTGAGGTCAATTAAGGATCCCACCACAGAAGATGCTGGAGAGCCTTCCCCTCCTACGCTCTCCGTGAAGAGCCCTTGCCATCCCAAGAGCGCAGAGGAACCCCAGCTGCCGTCAGGCCAGGGAAGCGTGAAGAGATGCAGTCTGTCACCCCATGTCCACGTTCCCAAGGCCAAAATAGCTTTTACAAGAATGAGACACCACAGCTGCTGCGATATCAAAGCCTGCAGAGCAAAGCTGCCGCTTATCAGGTGTTCCCGGCGCGTCTGCAAGGATGGGAGAGCACCAGGACAAACACAAGGGTTTACATTTAGCATTCTGTATCCCATGTACATCCTTAGAGATAATAAGAATCATTTCCTTTCTCCAGACCCTCTTATTTTTCTGACAGAAAGTTGACAACAGCTGACAAAACCCCATGTATGTCTCTCCTCAATTTTACTCCAGCGATCAGTTTTCAATGGAAGAATAGTGTAATGTTTAAATATTCTTCATAGCTCTTAATCCAGACTTACGCTGTACTTCTACAGTTAACTATAAACCATATTTATTGCAAAGAGCGTGTGTAGGGGTGAGGGACACGACTGAGAAGACTAAGCGTAAACATATGAGAAATACTCATTTCAGGTAAGCTGTAACATTTTGCAAAAATAGTATTTAATTCAAATATTCCCTCTCCTTCCTTGACTTTTTTTGCTGCCACAAATGCACTGAGCTGTGTTCAGAAAAGCACTCGACACCGAGCATTGCGTCTCAGGGTTACCATCAGCACCTGGTGTTGCTGCAGGCATTTCAACTTCACACAGGCTTTAAGGAGACCAAAACACATACACGAGACTAAACCTCGTGCCCTTTTGCAATCTGACTTTATATGACCAAAGAGCTACCTACCTCAGTTCATAACTCAGAACGACATGCACACTTAAGAAGCTGAGACTTAAGTCATTGAAAATAGGACAGCTAAAAGAACTGCTGATGGTAAGATGGCATTGCCAACTGCGTGAAGGCACGAGCCTTCTTCAGATTAAAAAAAAAAAAACCTTAGTAGAGGATATATTTGCTTGGAAACAAAGTCAGACCATAATTAAAACTAGCAAATGAGAACTGCATGGCACACATGCGATGACTCCAGCTGTTATTCTGTATCCCATGCAGGAATTAACAATAATAAACTTCTGAATCCTTTCAAGTGATCCACAAACATTTATTGCTTTTTGTTTCCATGGGATTGCTTCCATGAGATTGCTTCCATTTGCTTTTCAAAAAAGTGCTGACCATTTAACAGATTTCAGAACAGCAAACCCAAGTGTTTACAAAACACCAAGTTTCCTGGCAAAGCCCAGACATTACCAGTCCAAGTCTCAGCTGAGCACATGCAAGCTGGGAGCCGATGATGGTCCAGCCTAGAACAATGGTGAAGGAGGCAGCCCAGACAAGACTGACTGCCTGCATTAAACTATGTTATGAAATTGTAAAAACGTATGTGGTAAAACACTTAAATGAGGAATTGTTTCCCTATTAAGGCTTTGCAGTCAAAGCATGAAAATTTCGGACAGAACAGGACGCTCTGGGTCAGTGGGCATCTTTTCTTCCATTCTACTTCGGCTAACATCTGTTTGCATGTACATTCAGTGAATGCTGATTTATCCCACAGGACCCTCTCCTTCTTCCCAAACATTAAATATGAAAGCGGGTTAAAGGCACCTCCCGCAGACCCCGAGCACGGCGGCGTTCCCTGCACCCAGCCCTGCCTGCCCGCTGCCCAGCACCACCGCAGAAACTGCAATGCCCGTTTCTCTCCCTTGCTTCCCCCTTTGCCCAAGACAGCATCCGAACATATTGCTCTTCACTAGACAAGAATAGCAGGGGAGAGACTAAAGAGACAGAGATCCTAACAGTCTCAAATAACTTCTCCCTGGAGATACAATCCTTCCTACACAGACAGCAGCGATGATAAACCCAGTGACAATTTCTTTTTTCCAGTCGGGAAGAAGGATAGTGGAAGGAAGTGACTCTACAAATGCCTCTCAAGCCAAACGCACTCTAACAACCATCTATCCCAGTACTAAGCCTTTAAACACAACTTGGCTTCACAAGCCAGTATTTAAAAAGGTCTTCAGCGTGTTTACCATTTATCAGAAGTGTTTCAAAAATCCCCTAAAAGCTTTATGCCCTGCACCCCAAAGAAATATTAATCTCTATCTAGCTATGTGGATAGAAGGGATACAAGAAACTGAAGACATGTAAAAAACCTAACATGTAAGAGGGCCCAAATCTCTCGCTTTCCATCTCATGGTTTGGTCACTAAAGAGAAACATCACTACGTGAATTTCTACAGTTAAAGTTTTGGAGCACGTCAAAGGACTTTCCCTTTTCTGTAATAAGGCTGATAAAGAATAGGCAACCAACAAACATCGGCAGGCTGAAACCACTTTGTCAGGTATTTACAATGTCAGTTTTACATTCCTCACTTCGGAAGTAAACTAGAACTCAAAAGAAAACGTTGACTTCATTTAAGGCCAAGCACATCAGAAGCACAACCAGCTTGCAAGATCTGGAAGAGAAAATGCATTAATTTTTCATCTTACATCACTTCAACATAAGTAAGAAATTATTAATATCCTGCTTGAAAATATGAATAGTTTTATAAATGCCAAAAAGGCATGTTCTCTCTGAAGCAATAATGAAAGTTGCCCATCTCAATAGATGGCAATGGTTGATATTTTTGGCAAGAGATTTATTTAGAATGAAATTTGAAAATGCTTAACAGTCTACTTTTCAAAAAGAAAAAGACTGGCACATTAGTGACACTTCAAAATAATTTAGGCTGTTCTTGCTCCAATAGCTCACAGATATTCAGGTGGTGCTGTGCATCCCAAAAGAGGGGTGAGAAGTTACCAACAACCTGCAGGACCTTGCTTAAGAACAGCCTTTCTCGGGGACGAGCAACTATGCAGGCCACTATGTGGCTGTACAAAGGATTTTCCTAGGCTGGTCAGAGGGGTTATTGGGAAGAGATTCCAGATGTTCTTCATCCTCCTGGACACTGGACCTGTTCTAGCCAGAGAGTTGCCTTAATGATGCCTCCTCCACCACTTCTGTTCCCCTCTGGTCTGAATTGCACCTACTACTTGCATGGTACGCAGAACACAAACTCCAAACACCATTTTTAGGACTTGCTAAGGTCCATTCAGGTTAACAGCAGCAGAAGCAATAGCTAAGAATTCCTGATAATTACTGGCTGCATAATGAACCTCCATGGGCTCAGCATGCTTAAAAGACGGCACCCCAACCCCTCCAGCTAGGCACTCTGGGATACACCGCAAGGCCGGGGCAGAAGAAGGGATCGCAGTGATGTGCAGTGGGGCTGGAGAAGCAGGCAAGGACCGAGGGAAGTCTCATCTGAACTCAGCATCCACCCGCCCTGCACGCCTGCCACGCACGTGAAATCCAAGCACTGCTCAAGCTCCCTTCCCTAGTCAAGCGTCCCTTATGAGACTGTTCCATACGGCAAAGCGACCCAGAACAGCAGCAGACAAGCAGTTGGCCGTCAGTCCTACCAGTAGGGTTTAGCAGCAGTGTTCTCCCTTCACAGGTAGGGGAGCACCCCAGGATCCTCAAGGTAGCTACTACTGTCTGCCCCATGAACCTTAGCTCCTGGCAAACTACAAAGTCTTATTTTTCAGACAGAAAGATGTATTGCTCCAGTTCTTGCAGACTGTTCTATAACCTGCATTATGAAGGTTCGTCTCCCTTCCCTGCAGCTTCCCATCAAAGCCATGGAATCAGTAAGGTTATCTACACTTCTTTTGAGCGATCTTATGCAGATAAATCCAGATATTTAAATCAGTTTCTTAACAGGATGTCAAAAAATGTCTATGTAGAACTTTTTTTTTTTTTTTTTTAAAACAGCTGTTGTGTTTGTTATGTCGCTATCGCTGTGGATCACAGTATCACTGCCTCCTCCAAAGCGGACCAGATGAGTAGGAGCAGCTGGTAACAGACGAATCTCATACTAAAAGCCAATACCCAGCTAAAGCATTCATAATTCCTAGTTTATACACCCATGAACTGTAGCACTCAATAATCAAATTGGATGGTACTTCTGCCCCAAAGGGCTTACTGTCAAATCAAATAATGCAAATGCAACAGCTGAATGAGACATCAGACAGCTTCTAGCCTCCGGAGAAGGACAGGTAGACCTCTGCTTCTATCATGAATTAGATTTTCCTCCTTCCCAGTTATTGACCGTGCAGGTAACCCTGTAAGAGAGGCCACAGGATTTGGTCCCCTGTTACAGTCCAGAGCTACCTCCAGCAACTGAGCCAAAATTTAAGCATTTGAGGAAATATCTCCTTTGCTGTCAGTCAGCCTTACGTGAGCTTTTCCCTCCCACCCCATTTCTTCAAGTATCTTTCACTTATTTCTTAAAATAATGTTATGAATAAAATTTGGCATGTTAAATTCATGCAAGTGCTCCACAGTTCATTTCTTCCTTTTCCTTTGAAACAGAAGCATATGTTGCTTGTAGCATTAGTGTTTTGCTGCTCTTGTGAGAGGCGGGAGAAACCAATTTGGCCAAAGCGTGTGTTGGGAAAGTCTCCCTGCACACACAACCCACCCAGAGCATGGAGAGCCTGGCAGTGCAGTTCCCAGAAGGAGACATTTGAACTGGACACACTCCATTTTAGGACTGGAGACCCAAAGCTGTTGATATCCACGCATCCACCAGCAGCTGCGTGCCGGAGCTGCAAGAACAGGGCCTTTCTGTGCTTCCACTTCTCTACAGACGTGTACGAAGCCCGACGCGCAACAAGAAATAAGCCCGGGGAAGGCTGGCACTGGAGGGACCCTCAACCTGTGGAGCATGAGCTA